TCTTTTAGAGGTATGAAAATTGAGACAAGAGAGGTTGTTGATTTTTTGTCTGAGTTGTGCCTTGTTAATAAATAACCCTTTTTTCTTGAATAAATTAAAGGTAATTTTTTTAGTTTATCTTCAAAGATTTTTTCAAATCAAAAACAAAAAAATTTAATAACATTGGAAAGACTCTTTTTGAATAAAGAGGGAGAAAATCTTTTTGTTGTTGTTCAAAATGATAACTTATAGGTTTTTTGAAAGAATAATTAAATAAAGCATAAACAGAGAGTCTAAAGAGGAGGGTTGCAACTTCTTTCCATATCAACTATTGTTGTACAACACTCTTTTCCATTTATTCCACTAATATAGTCAACATGATTTACTTTCTTAATAATTGAAGCAATTTCTGTTTCAACAAAGAAATCACGAGGAGTTACATCTTTTTCGCGAGGGGTAGATTGGCATGATGTACATTTTAAAGGTTCGTCATGGAACTCTGTTTCTAGTTGACTAGAAGACGATAAAATGATTGATTTTTTTGGGTTGTGGTTCTTTGTGTTGTTAGGTATGTTCATTGATTTTCGTCGAAAAGAAGTTTTTGATTTAAAAAGTTGGATATTATGAATTTATTTTTATAAAAAGGAGAATTACAAATATATTGGTTGAATTTCCTTTTATTAAGTAATGCTTCATTCACTTTCTTTTAAATACCTGCCTTTTCATATCAGTTACGTTTATAATTTATTTTTATACAGAGGAAAAAAGAATCTGAAAGAAAAAGAAGAATAAAAGAGAAAAAAGAAAGTTAAAATAAAAATAGAAATATAAACAAAAGAATTAACGTACTTTGAATAATTTTTATTTTAAAAATAACAAAAAAATAAAAATAAAAAAAAACAATAAAATAAAAATAATAAAAAAAATAAAAAAATAAAAGAAGAAAAAACTATAAAAACAAAATGATACTATTTTTAATATTTGCAAGTCTATCAAATGGAAGTTTCCAATGTGAAACGAATGAATATTGGAATCAAAACAAAGGGACATGTGAAGCTTGTAGTCAAAATTGCTTAACGTGTTGGAGTAATACAAAATGTACGACGTGTGTAAAAGGGTATTATCTTAATGAGAATTATGGATGTGCACAAAGAGAAGCTGGGCTCCAAGAGGTATGTAAAACATGGGATGGATTATACTGTATAGAGTGTAAAGAAGGGTATTATATAGAACAAATGAAATGTGATTCATGTAAAGTAGAACATTGTGAGAGATGTACAAAAGATAAATGTTTTAAATGTAAAGAAGGATATACACTTTATGAAATAACTACAAGTGAAGGGATAGAGAAACAAGAATGTATTGATTGTACAAATGAAGAAAATGATAGTAAGTGTGGTAGATGTCCATTGGGAAAATATTTTGATATTGAAACACTTTCCTGTAAAGAATGTAAAGAGGATTGTGAAAGATGCACTACAAAAGATAATTGTTATCTTTGTAAAGGAGATAAAGCATTAAAAGACCCATCAAATCCAAATAGTGAATGTGTTTCAATTTTACATTGCAAAACAGGAAATTATTATGGAAATTATTGTGAACTTTGTGAAGAAAATTATTTTGTTCAAAATGGAAAGTGTATTAAATGTAGTGATGGATGTAAAAGATGTATAAATGAAAAAGAATGTATTGAATGTAATAATACATTAACATTAATTAATGGAGAATGTAGAAATGATATAAATTGTTTACGTTCAAGTAATGTAATGGGATGTATTGAATGTAAAGAGGGTTATTATTTAGGAAATGAAGGTAAATGTAAACAATGTCCAGACCAATGTAAATTATGTAAATCAGATTCATATTGTTTTAGGTGTAATGATAATTATTATTTTACTGATGTTTCTAATGGCATTTGTAAAAAATTAAATACTAGAATTTGTAATGTTGGTGATCAATATGGTTGTTTACAATGTAAATATGATGTTCCATATAATGAATTATTAGATAAAAATGATGCATTAACATTTAATGTACCAATAGATCCTTCATTTAAATTAGGATATTATCTACTTATTCAGGTACATCAAAAACAGGAATTAAATATGAACCAACATGTAAAATGTGTAATATTACTTGTCGTATTTGTGATAATAATCCAAATTGGTGTACTGGATGTAATGCAGGATATTCTCTTGAAAAAGATACTGAGGCAATGATAAAATATTTTGAAGATTTTGGTGTTCATAATGATATTTATAAATGTGTTCAAATGCCCAGTATTTGCAAAAAAACTGAAATGGGATATTGTGTACAATGTGATGATAAACATTTTCTTCAAGGTGTCGATTGTAAAGTTTGTGATGAGTCTTGTGATACTTGTTTGTCTGATAGTTCTTGTCAAACATGTAATTCTACTATTGATCCAAATACAAATAATGCATTATGGTGGAGACGTCCTTCAGAGAGTTCTTTAGACACTCAAAGTTTATGTTATTCTACTAGTAATACAACATATTCTTCATTATTAAATTGTTCAGATAAAATAACTACATCTGGTTGTACGTCATGTTATTCTCATTTTTATTTAAAAGATGGAGAATGTCATCCATGTCCAACAGAATGTTATGAATGTGAATTAAAAAATAATATTACTACATGTACTAAATGTAATCCAAATACACAATATTTGTCTAAAGAAGATAATAAATGTCTTGAATGTAATACTATAGAATATTGTATTAAGTGTAATGGAAAAGGATGTAGCAAATGTAGAGATGGATATTCAGTAACATCTGATAGACTTTCATGTAAGAAATTAAATCTTGGTTTAATCATCTCATTAATAATTGTTGGTCTTCTTTTTATTGTCATTATTATTAGTATTATCATCTTTTTAATTTGGAGGAAACGTAGAAAAATTATTAAAGAAAGAGAAAAAGAAATTAAACCATTTAAAGTAAGTGGTGGAGTAGAAATGGCTCTTCTTTCAGCTGACAATGCTAATTTCCCATTAAAAACAGATAAATGGAAATTAACATTTGGACATGCAGGATCAAAAGTTAGTGTTGATAACTTATATGAAGAAACTATAAAATAA